TTTTTCTTACTTTACATTTTTCATATTTTACTGTGATTATTAATATTTTCATTATTATTTCAGTTTGTTAAATCTTTTTTTTGATGTTTTTTTGCAAAGATATTTTATAATTTGCATATAATTCAGCATTAAGCAGTACAATATGGTACTGCACAAATTCATATGATATAATTCAGTATAATATGATTTGATGATTTGATCTAATATAATTCAATGTGATTTAATATAATTAGATAATTTGTTACAATTTAATGCACATTAACGTAATTTGATATAATAATTCAAAATAATTTAAGTTTATTGTAAAATAGCAGACATAATTTGACACATTTTAATCTCATTTGGCTTAATTTACCATAATTTTATTTAATTCATCTAATTTAATACAGACAATCTAATTTAATTGATACAGTTTAATATGATTTGACATTGTACGGTATATTTGAGGCCTTGCCAAAGTGCTGAGCGGTTGAGTCAGAGTAACTGTGGTCAATGAGTATAAAATGGAGGGTAAGAGGAAAAAGTCCGCATCTGCAATCATAAATGAAAACAATGGGACACAGATGCGACTGGAAAAGTTGTGTGAAGGGTTAGAAAGACATACTACCAGTGTACCAGAAGTCGCTGATAGCAGAATGATCACGCTTGAAGCACTCGTCGTGGATTTGAAATCGCAGGTGGCCAGGAAAGTTGCTGAAAGCGCTTCTTGACCGTTTTAAAAGAATTCCGAGAGAAGGATGATCATTGCGTCGTTTCCTGTACAAAGAAGTTCCTGTTTGCAACTTTCCAGAAATTGAAGAAACAAGCGAATACTACGATCCCTAGTACTACACATTGTCCATGCTCTTGAAGGAATTAGCGAAGTCTTTCAAGACCCATGACCTAATTCCAGTGAAATGCTTTACATGCGAGTAAAGCTTACCTAGATGTAAAAGAGAAATACTTAATGCTGATGCAAAAAGCTCAGAATATAAGATAAACCAGACAAAGTGCGCTGAAAATAGTCTCGCAGAACGTTACACAGATTTACAGCGGTGGACCAAGCAACTGGCGAATGTGCCATACAGAATCCCCAAATCAGTGATCAGTGACCGATACTGCAAGGTAGCTCCAAGTAGCACAACAGTGTTATGACGATATAATAAAGCGAGATAAGAAGCCATTGGAGTGGACACAAGAATAGAAAAAAAGTTAAGATTGTTTCATTTCCACGAATCCTCCAAGTTTTTTATCGGATTTTTACCGGTGAAAAACTTGCAGGTAAAGATCTAAAGAAGCGCAAGAAGTGTATGAGGAAGATAAATCTCATACTCGCTCTTCAGCGTTAAGCATATTGACAGACCGTGTGAGGGTTTACGAAACTAAAATTAAAAGTTATGAGACCCGATAGCTGTCGGCTCAACATGAGGTACCCAAGGGTAGCAGTTCCAACTGACCAATAAATGGACATAACGAATCATCTACTGTTTGTGGATGATCTCAAGACTTTTCGATTTATGAGGATATCATGAAATCTATGGCAGAAGAAGTTGAAAAGTTTGATAACCTTTAAAAAAAATCCGATAAAAGTCTTGAGATCATCCACAAACAGTAGATGATTCGCCTTGATAAAGTTCTTGTAGGATTAGAAGTAAATCTACCAAAGTCAGGCATTAATACCGAAGTTTGTGTTGATAAGGAGGCGCTATTGGAAGGAACTCAAGGCTATAAATACCTTGGAATAGCAGAAGACAAGACTAGTGCACCTTCGCACCTATCCGTGAAAGCTACGATATAGTCTGTGCAGAAATTTTAGTCAGAATTAAACGGTTAGCCAAAACTGCACTAAATGACAAGAACTTTATCAAGGCTGTGAATGAGCACGCCTTAAGCCTAATAAATTATTACGTGAGGGTGCATCAAGCGGGAGCCGGAAGACATCAAGACTATAGACCAAGATATCAGACAATTACTTTACAAATATGGAATTCACAAGCAACTGCATGCTTGGAAAGACTGCATCTACCAAGGGACGAGCTAGGACGTGGACTTCATAATGTTGAGCAGAAGAGTGAGCTTATGGCTTCTCCAGCTACATAATGTTCTTGTAGATACCGCACCAATTTGAACCAGAAGGGCAGCGATTCTGAAGCAGGAGAAAACTCATTAACACGTATTTGGCAATTATTGTTTGCTGTCTAAAGACTAGGTACAACCTGGCAAAAATTCCGACTGTCGACAACATAGTAGCAGCTCACAAAAAGCTCTAGGTTTGAAAAAAAAACCACCATGCAAAGATACAGATGAATGAAATCTCGTCCATAGCTGATTCATCAATATGGCTACGATACGGAAACATTACTCTGCAAGATGAAGCACGATATTGTTAGAAGTATGTTTGGAGGTGAGAAAGGTATGTGCCAGCATTGTGGGAGCGTGTGAAGACGTGGACCATCTAGCAACGCAGTGCGAAGAAGTGTTACATCACGACTATACTAGAAGACATGATGAGGTCCTACGATCCATCCACTTGGGAATCTGCAAGAAGTATGACCTGAAAGCATCCCCGCGCATGCATTCAGGAAATCGTTGCGAGTAAGAGCGTGAAAATTATAGTGCATACGCGAGTGAGAACAGTTATAAAGACAAAAGTGGATCGACCGGATATAATGCTACATGATAAGAAACTATGTGAAGTAATTCTGGTAGAGGTTGGGAGCTCCAGTCAGGACAGGTTGACAGCAGTCGAGAAAATATGATCTACTTGCTAATAAGCTTAGGTCGAATATGAAGTGCAAGACTAAAATAATCTTGGCATAAGACTGCCACGAACTTCCATAAACGGTAGCGAAATACGTCTGATCACGTCGAGGCATATATCCAGTCGGCAGTGCTCAAGAAAACGCTCGAAAACAACTTATTCGATCAGCACAGCTGTGAATGAAGCACAAGAAATCAGCACAGTAAATGTAAACGCTGGACAAGTACTGCCAGAATGCAGAATACTATTCTGCGCAAGAATCAGTAGAGCGACGAATAAGATTGACCTCCATATTTTCTTTTCTTTTACGGTATAATTTAACATAATTCAATGTGCAAATGATTTAATACAATATAATATCACATAAGTTAATATAAAATAATTTATTTTAAACTATATCAATTTACTCATGATATAATTTATCTAAGGGTAAAATTAATTAAAAACGTAATCACCATCGCAATCTTTCGCTGGTTCACTGATTATATTTATATTATATTTTATATATTTGCTCTAAGAATTATTATTATTATCATGAGTATTTAATACAATCACAATTATGTGGATTAATTTGATTCTTATATTGCTTTAATGTGATAACAATAATACTTCTCAGCAATAATTTGGGATTAATTAAGTTAATTAAAATAAATCAAAACTTAATTAATACTATAAGTAATAGTAATACTTACTGAAAATCATCATTTGTAGTGTAAAAGTTAGCCTTTTCCAAAGCTTGAACTGTACGAATAGCTGGAATGTGCTTTGATAAACGAGTGAAAAAGTTTTGGACGTGGTGTTCACTTGATTTAAGTATTTGTGTTCCATCCTGACTACTCTTGGATATTGATACTGAAATATAAATCAAAATTCAGTACATTCAGAAGAATTAATTTATGCTAATGACAAAAAGTCCAACGTTTACATGATTAATTAGGTGTTTAATCAAGACAACGAATACTGATTTTAATAAATTAAGTTATTATTTAAATTTATGTAATAATGTCAATGAAACTTGCAATGATGTTGTTGCTTTGGCAGATTTAGTGCAGAAGGAGTTGATACATCAGATTTAGATTCCGCATCAGAATCGCTTTCAACTAATTGTGATTCAATGATGTTATCTGCGATTCGCTCCGCAATCCAAGCTTTAATCCGACTTGGAATACTTTGAGTTTTTTTCTGATGAGTTGCTAATGGAGCGCTTAATAATCCGCCTAATTTTGAAAATATTCATATTATATTAATACAGCAAATAACAATTATATTCACGTATTTCAATTATTTCAGTCAGTATTTGCAAATTTTTTAAAAAAATTTATTTTTTAAATTATAAACTATCAATAAAAAATAGACAATATTGAAAATCATAGCTTAAAATTATTAAATTAATTAAAAAAATTGATGCAAAATTTTTACCAGTCATTCCAACTTCGAATGGTGACGTTTTGGTTTCAAAGTTAGAATCAGTTTTGGCAATCGCTGCTACACGTTCAATCTCATCGATATATTCTTGCAAAAGTTGCCCAAGAATTTTTTCCAAAGCTACCTAAAAATTTAATCTTAAATTGAATAATTAATTAATTTTAATTATTGGTTATGTCATAAGAATTAATAATATATTTTACATAATAATTAATATTAATCGGTTCAAAATAATACTTGAATAATTTTATGAGAATGTAATACAGAAAGCATTGTTGTGTAGGTTTTAAAAATTTAAAATTACACATTTTGTATGAAAATAATTTTAAAAAGATAATAAGAAATTGTTGAAAATTTTTTCTGGCAAATTGATTTAAATAATTACATCAATTAAGTAAATAAGAACAGAAAAAATACAATTAAAATATGAGTTTTAAAAAAAATTGCAATAAATTTCATTTTGGTTGCATTACTAAAGTACTTATTTACTTAAAGCTATGAAATTCTTACTTAAAGTAGTGTAAGAATTTTGCATATTTTATATGAATTAGTATTTTAAAAAGTAACTAACTAACTTGTATAAGATTAATGCACATAGACAGCAAGGCAAGTCCAATGAGAATTAATAAAAAATAACCGAGCATCATATCTTTATTTCCAGGAACAATATCACCCAGTCCAACAGTACTGAAAATGTACCAGATTTTGATATTTTTTCATAATATAAAAATAAATTGATTGTTTTTTTAATTACATTATCAAAAATAATAAAAATAAATTATAAAAGAATTAAAATTCATTGCAAAAAAATTTTCAAAAAATTATAACTTTTCATAAAGTTTTGAAATTGAAAAAAAATTTGAATTATTAATTTTTTCATTTATTAATTTTGCTTGTAATTTCTCCAAGAAATGATATTATAAATGCATTTATTATTATTATAGAATACAAATTTAAATTTGAAAAAAAAAAGATTTATTTACTAAATTATAAATTTTAAGCATAATAATTTTACAAAATAAAATTTTTACAAACAAAATTATTAATAAAAATAAACCTAATAGAAACGAAGAAAAAATATACAGAAGTGAGGTATCCCCATTCACTTTCATACAAGCAAAATAAAGCTGCCGAAAAACCAATCCAAAGTATTAGTACTGCTAAAGCAATTGGAATTGGAAAGGCATTTTCGTGAGCACTAAACAATTAATTTCATTTATTTATATTTGAAATGCAAATGTTTTAATACATTAATTGAAATTAATAATCAAAAATTTAAATTAAAATTAATAATTAAAAATCGTACAAATTTTTTTTTTGATGGATGAGAGTGCCAACTTCAGTATCCAAATCAAATATATCATTTTCTGTTATAGAACGAAGACTTCCTATGGAAGAGGGTAAATAAGAATGATTAAATAATGTCTGCAATATTTTTCTTTTTAATAAATGCATACTTTAATTACTTAATTAATTAAATCTTGAAATTAAAATCATTAATGAAGTATTTATTTATTTGCGATACAAAAAATGTCAAAAAATGATTCTAAAACATAAAATGTTATTATTTTATTAAAATAAAAATTATGGATACAACATATAAAAGTACCTTCATTGACCTTTGCACCCTTTTCAAACTTTCTCGGGATTTTTTTCCCGTACTTCGTAATCGCTTATAGCATTTACGAAAACTTCGTGACATTAAGCGGCCAACATTTTTGAGAATAATTAAAAATATTGGAATACCAAACATAATATAAAATATGCTAGCTATTTGACCAGCAAGAGTCTTCGCTACTGGTAATCCATAACCTGAAATATTTGGATATTATTAGCAATAAAAATTAAATAATTAAAATAATAAATTTTCATAATAACTAATTATTCAGTGACTAATTAATTAACTTAGAAAATCTGCAAGATTATAAAATACTCTCAATGAATACATTAGTAAAAAATTTGTCGAATAAAGAAATACAAAAAAATACTCAAAACATAAAATCATTACAAAATAATTAACTAGATATTATATCATTAATATGAAATAGAAATTTAAATTCTAATCATAATGAAAATCTCGATTCTGAAAAATATAAGAAGATTAAATTTAAAATAAGTATTAAAAAAGCATAACTTTCATTGTAAAACTATCCTTTACATACATTTAGAATTTGCAAATATTAGTAATATTAGTAATATAACTGTTATTTTTTCCTTTTGACCTTTGAATTAATCATTTTAGAAGATTGCCATACCAATGGTAGTATAAAGTTGCCCAGCATAGAACATCGAGCCATACCATGACCAAGGGCTACTATCGTTCCGTTCTTGAATAATTGTCGTGAAGTTAAGATAAGTAAGAAACCAGGTTATGGCTTCTTCGGCATATTTTACCTGTAAGGTCCGGTCATTTTTGATTACTTCGTCTTCACAGCGTAATTCCAATATTCGTTTTGTTATCTACAAATTATATTGGATAAATATTGATATATTTGAGTATACCTTTTTGTTTCAAGTATCAAAATGTATTTTTAGGTAATGATTTCATATGATTCAGTTTCAAAATCTGATTCAGTCATGATCTCTTGATGTACTTAACTGATTTAGTATAATTAAATCAAACAATGAACAAATCTGAAGGCTTAAGTGAAATAAAAATCTGAATCCTAAATTAGCATTTACTTATTTATACCTAAAATTCATTTGATTCCAAAAAGTTAGTTACCTAAAATTCATTTGATTCCAGAAAGTTACCTAAAATTCATTTGATTCCAGAAAGTTACCTAAAATTCATTTGATTCCAGAAAGTTAGTTACCTAAAATTCATTTGATTCCAGAAAGTTACCTAAAATTCATTTGACTCCAGAAAGTTGGAGAATTGGATTATTTTTTTTAAAAAAAAGAAATTATTTATTATCTTTACAAATACGTTTTATGCTTAATTTGATGATCAAATTTTTTATAAGAATTTTGATATTAAGCTTAAAAGGTAATCTGCTTCTTTTAGATTTTCACATTTGGAATAGCAATTGCTAATTAGTATAAAAACTTAACAAACCATACTTGGTCATATGCATAATAATAGCTTTTACGGAATAACTCTCTTTCACGTAAATCACGTTCTAATTCAAGTCTACGAAAAACTGCAGCACCAAGCAATGTATATGAGATCAAAATTAAAAATGGAAGAAGATGGCTTAAGTGAAATCTTTGGTAAATTTGTTGTAGCCAACGTATAGACTCGAACATTTCGTGTCATCCATTGGACGAATGCATTTACTTAGCCCTGAAAGTTTATTTTTACATTTCAAATATTCACGTTTTTTTATTTACAAGTAAACAATAAAAATTAAAGCGCATTTAACTGCTACATTTCACGTCATTAAGTTTCACGTCATAATCATTAATTAAACGATACAAAACATCTCAAAATAGTTAATTTCAAAAAATACCTCCATCAAATGTTTTGCATAAAATCTTAATAATTTATTGAAAGAAGTAAAAGAATAATTGCTAGATGGATATACGAAATTAGCTTGAAGGACGATGAACATAATTATTAACACCATTTTTATAATAATAATGGCAGTAATATTATTATATTATTATTAGCAGCAGCATTTCATTTATAGTCTTAAAAATTAAACAAACGTCATTATTAATATTCGTGCTAGCAATTTTAATCATGTTATTAATGGGCGACGATTATGGCACACTAATATTAACAATAACTGCTGTGATAATGTTGCTGATTATAATCCATGAATGATAAAGCAATTATTATCGTGATAATATCAATGATTGTTTTTATAGTAAAAGTGTTAACATTTAGAATAAAAGCATAGAAAATAAGTTATGAATTACAATACCAATATTGCCATTTACATTAATTATAACCACTTAATAATGTGGCATTTTATTTTCATTACCTTCAGTATAATATATTATCACAATAATGATGATAATATTATGAATATTAACTGCTATAATAATTATGAATTTTATTATTATTAATAATAGGCTTATGAATTACAATACCAATATTGCCACTTATATTAATTATAACCACGTAATAATGTGATATTTTATTTTCATTACCTTCAGTATAATATATTATCACAATGATAATGATAATACTCTAAATATTAACTGCTATAATAGTTATGAATTTATTATTATTATTATTAATAGGCGTATTTAATAGTGATAATGACGATGAAGGAGTAAAGGAATTGCATAAGAATAAAGTTTGTGCAAATGGAAGGCGTATTTTCAAAGCTTTAACAAAATCATAAAGTGTGCATAGAGAATTTATGAATTTTAGTATAAAGAGAAAAGTAATACGATAGAAATAAATTATGCAAAAAAAAGTAGAAAGTAAGCTATAGAATTGTGGTTAAAAAAGAAAATGTAAGCTTGTACCGAAGTTTATTTTTGCTATAAACTGAAGTTTAAAGCAAATTTATTTAGTATTATTACTGTTGTGCTTATTTTTTGTGAAAAAAACTTCACATTGAGAGAGTAATCTATCATTTGGTAACATTTTTTGTGTATGTAAATTTTGATCAGAAAGAAAATTTTACAATTTTTGAACTATGTACAATTATTATCATGTCATATCTTGCAATATTTCAATCATTTTATAGAATATTTAATCTGATAAATTATTAATTAATCAATTAAAAAAATTTTAAATTTTGCTATCTCTGAAATATCTTCTTATATTATCATTATATCGGAAGCTATTATCATTATATTAGAAAAAATTATTTTCTGTTCATGATAGTGCTAAAGCTTACTAAATGATTATCAGAAAAGTTATTAGTCAGTAAAGCAGATTTTAGTCAGTAAAGTGCTTTAATAACTATGAGTAATAAACTAAAGGTCAAGGTTCAAATTTTAAGGCTTGTAATAATAACAGAAATTTAGCATTTACTACTTTAAGATGCAAATAGAAAAACTAGTAATGATTTGAATGAGAAAATGATAAAAATAGTAACAACGATAATAACGACCAGTAATAATAGTAATAGCAATAATTGCAATAATAATAACAATAATCATAATCATAATATCCAGAAATTTTTGTTTTCCCAGTTGTGAAGTACTTACTTATGTATTCAAAAAGACAACTTAACAATTGAACAAGTTTAATTTGCATACTTCAATTTAAAATTTGAATAAAGCAGTTTAGTTTATAAACTTACAATAAATAATTATTATATTACTAAATGCATACTTTTAAAGATAAGCAACTTTTTTTAAATATTACAAATATTAAAAATTATAAATTCATTAATAATATTTGTATTAATTTAAAAAACAAAATTGTGCAAAAATTTTGAATGAAATAAGTATTTGCTTTATTGTGCTTTGAAGTGAGAATTTTTGAGAATCAAAAATAGTTCAAGAGCAAAGTTTGCTTGATTAATTATAGTCACCTACGAGATAACTAACTTTCTTCCTCGGCATAAGAATCCATTCATCAACACTTTTCACCACAATTATAGTTTTTGCTATTTTTTGAATCACATTTTTCATATGTAAACCTTTTACTTTGAAATCAAAACTTTATTTTACAAAATATAAGTATAAATAAATTACTTATATAGCTATTACTTAATAAAGTAACGTGCATTTGTTTTCATTTAAGCTAATTTTGAAAGAAAAAATGCATAATTCGCTCAAAAACTTTGTAGATATTATATTTACTAATATTCAATATTTATTTAATATTTTTTAATATTTTTTGGATTTAATATTTAGAACTAACCTCTACATTTTATTTATTTATTTACATTTTATATTAAATAAACTATTTTTGGAGTTTATTATATTCTTACAGTCATTAGTAAATTGTAGCTGTGAACAGTAAGCTTATTGCCTTCGTAAAATTCTTTCCATGACTATAATTTTGTATCTTTTTATACTTAAAACAAGTTCATCTTTACTACAAAAATTCATAATAATTATTGTATGCTTTTTTTTGCGTAAAAATTCATTCCTAAAAAATAATTTTATTTCAGTTATTGGCAGTTTTTAGAGTAATTTTCAAATTTTATAAATAAATCATTGTTTGTTGCAATCTTTTATTTTTTATTACATCTTTTTATTTTAAAAATTCAATTTACGATGTTTGAGATCTATTAAAAACCCCAAAACTGATCAACTGATTAACTGATCAACTGATCTATATTATTGTCAATAAAATATAAAAGTTCGATCAACTGATCTATATTATTGTCAATAAAATATAAAAGTTTGATCAATTGATCTATATTATTGTCAATAAAATATAAAAGTTTGATCAACTGATCTATAGGATTGGTCAATAAAATATAAAAGTTGAGAATATAAAATTTTAATTCAAATTATTATTTATCACAAAAATAGTTAATTCGATATTGCAATTATGAAAATCTGATGAGCCTTATCATTGTCAGTTATCTCACATCTGTCAAATTGAAACAAAATAAGTTTTTTTTTTCAATCTTACGTAGTCTTTTCTACTTTTTCAGATCTCAAAATATAAAACAAGTTTGTTTCAAACTGACTAACATGAAGAATTTAAGCTTTAATAACTTATCACTGTCAATGTTTAAATGATAAAACATAAAGTAATATCATTATCACATAATCAAAGTTATAAAAGTCAATCAATTATTTGAGTGGAACATATTCACTCATGACCTCTTAATGACCTTAACTAATTAAATCTAATCAAATTTGAATAATGAACATAGAGGACATCAAAATATGCATAAAAATTAGTATAGTAATAGCATAATATGCATAATTTCCTATAAATTAGCATTTGTTTATTAAAAATCCAGCTTCCACTGATTGATCAATTGTTAATATATTGATACAGATATTGTATTTAAGTGATAATATTAAAATTCTGAAAGTAGAGAAAATAAATATGATAATATTATAAGATTAACTGAAATACGAAACAATTTGCATTAATATCCCATTATCATTTCCATTGCGATATCAAAAAGTTAACTACGTAATGAATATATATTATTTATTTTCATTACAAAAAAAATAATCAATTCCTAATAATTATTAAATTCAAATTTTTAATATATTGTAAAAGTCACAAGTTTGAAAATAAAAATTAATTTAATGATCTCTGATTACTAAAACCTTTTTAAGTAAAATTATAAATAAAGTAACCTCCACGTTAAAGCAAAAAAAAGTCTATTCTATCCGATCCAAATTAAAAAATTAATTTATTTTTAGCAACCAGAAAAAATTAATACTAGATAAAATTGCAAAGAAAATGCTAATCTATTACAAATTTCAATCATGATTATATATAGCAACGTTAGTAATCATATAGTAGAATATAAATTTAAACAATATATTCATCATTTTAAAGTGAAGTAGTGAATGAATGAGGTGTTAAAAATAGCAA